CTAAAACTCTTTTGGCACGCTACTTTTAGTCACGGACCAATTTGACCTTTAGGGACGGATTCCGGGCTTTTAGGGACAGTTTTGACTGTCCTTAAAACCCGAATTTCTTGTAGTGATAGATAACTATTCAAGGAAGTTGTGGGTATATACCTTGAATTCAAAAGACCAAGTGTTGGCAGTGTTCAAGCAATTCCAAGCCCTAGTTGACAGACAGACTGGGAAGAAACTGAGATGCATTCGTACTGATAATGGCGGAGAGTATTCTGGGCCTTTTGATGAGTATTGTAGACAACAGGGTATCCGGAATCAAAAGACAACTCCAAAAACTCCTCAGTTGAATGGCGTAGCAGAAAGGATAAACAGGACACTGGTTGAGAGAGTGAGATGTTTGCTTTCACAAGCCCAATTGCCAAAATCTTTTTGGGGGGAGGCATTGAGCACAGTTGTTCATGTGTTGAATCTTACACCCTGTGTTCCTCTAGTGTGATGTGCCAGACCGAGTTTGGATAAGTAAGAATGTATCCTATAATCATTTGCGAGTTTTTGGGTACAAAACATTTGTGCATTTTCCAAAAAATGAAAGGTCCAAACTTGATATGAAAACGCGACAGTGTATATTCATTGGCTATGGCCAAGATGAGTTTGGGTATAAGCTTTATAATCCAGTTGAGAAGAAAATTGTGAGAAGCAGAGATGTCGTGTTTGTAGAAGATCAGACGATTTAGGATATTGAGAAAGCAGGGAAATCTATGTCTTAACAAGGTGATATCTTGACTGATATGGATCCAGCTCCTCTGAAGAATCTGCCATCTCAGGTTGAGAATGATGATCAGGATGACTACCAGTGTACAGGTGATGTGGGTGTTCCCTTACAGGTTCAGGGAGATGTTGAGACTGATGAGCAGTTGACAGCGCCAGAGATTCCACCAGTGATTCCATCCAGGAAGTCTGCCAGAGACCGACGTCCTTCCACTCGGTATTCAGCAGAGCAATATGTGTTATTGACTGACGAGGGAAAGCCCCAGTGTTTTGCAGAAGTAATAGAAAATGAACACAAGACAGAGTGGGTTGAGGCCATGCAAGATGAGATGCAGTCATTGCATGATAACCACGCCTTTGAGTTAGTGAAGCTACCTAAAGGAAAAAGAGCTTTGGAAAACTAGTTGATTTACAGGAAGAAGCAAAATGAGTTATCTTCACGGCTACGGTACAAAGCTAGATTGGTTGTCAAAGGGTTCGGTCAGAGAAAAGGTATTAACTTTGATGAGATCTTCTCTCCAGTCGTAAAGATGTCATCGATCCGTATAGCACTCGGCCTAGCAGCTAGTCTTGACTTGGAAGTTGAGCAGATGGATGTGAAAACTGCATTTCTTCATGGTGATTTGGAGGAAGAGATTTATATGAAGCAGCCAGAGGGTTTCAAAGTGAAAGGGAAAGAGGATTATGTGTGCAAGCTGAAGAAAAACCTATATAGTTTGAAACAAGCACCGAGACAGTGGTATAAGAAGTTTGAGTTTGTTATGGGGGAGCAAGGCTACAAGAAGACAACTTCTGATCACTGTGTATTTGTTAAAAAATTCTCTGATGATGATTTTATTATTCTACTGCTTTATGTGGATGACATGTTGATTGTTGGCAGGAATGCTTCAAGGATTGAATAGTTGAAGAAGCAATTGAGTAAGTCATTTGCTATGAAGGATTTGGGGCCAGCAGAGAAAATTCTTGGCATAAGAATCAGTCGTGATAGAGTGCCAAGAAGTTATATTTGTCACAGGAGGAGTACATTGAAAAAGTGCTTCAGAGGTTCAATATGGACAACACTAAAGTGGTTAGCTCTCTTCTTGCTACCCACTTTAGACTGAGTACAAAGTAATGTCATTCTACAGATAAGGAAAAGGAAGACATGGAAAGAGTTCCTTACGCCTCAGTAGTATGAAGTTTGATGTATGCAATGATTTGCACAAGACCAGATATAGCCCATGCAGTTGGTGTAGTTAGCCGATTCTTGTCAAATCCGGGAAGAGAGCATTGGAATGCAGTGAAGTGGATCATGAGATATCTTCGAGGCACTTCTAGTTTGAGACTTGGTTTGGGAAATGGACAACCATTGTTAGTTGGCTACACAGATGCAGATATGGTAGGGGATATGGATACTCGTAGGTCTACTTCGGGTTATTTGATCACTTTTGCAGGTGGGGCTGTAGGTTGGCAATCGAGACTTCAGAAGTGTATTGCTCTTTCTACGACAGAGGCAGAGTTTATTGCAGCAACGGAAGCGACTAAAGAGTTCTTATGGGAAAAGAAGTTCTTGAGAGAACTTAGTTTCAAGCAGCAGAGGTATGTGTTGTTTTGTGATAGCCAGAGTGCTATTCATCTTGCTAAGAATTCCAGTTTCCATGCAAGATCTAAGCACATTGATGTACGATACCATTGGATCAGAAATGCGTTGAACAATAAGTTACTTGAACTTGAGAAGGTTCACACTAATGATAATGGCTCTGATATGTTGACAAAGACATTACGAAGAGAAAAGCTTGAAGTTTGTTGTTCGATCGTCGGGATGGCGATTCCCTCCACATAGTCGAAAAGGGGGAGATTTGTTGGGTTTATTTCCTTCTATATGGAGGAAAGCCCAAGTGGGTTTTATTAAAAACCCAAAGCCCAGCAATTAGGGAAAAGAAAACCCTAAGGAAGTTAGTATAAAAAGAGAGAGAAGTTAGCCGCAAGTGAAAAGAAAAAAGAGAAGAAAAACGCAGGTTTTTTCTATTCTGCCCAGGTTTGATCAAACGTCCGATCCCACTTTGTTCATGGTCCGATCAAGCTGAAATTTGGAGGAGAGGTTCATGACTCATTGACGCACAATTTGAACGGTGGAGATCAGATTTTGAGCTCATGAACAGTGATTCGTGCCCATGAACAGTAACCAGGTTTTGGTAGAAAAACGCAGGTTTTTCTATTCTGCCCAGATTTCATCAAACGTCCGATCCTGCTTCGTCCGTCATCCGATCGAGCTGAAACTTGGAGGAGTGGTTCACGACTCAATGAGTTAAAATCTGAACGGTGAAGATCGGATTTTGAGCTCGGGAACAGTGATTCGTGCCTGTGAACAGTAACCGGGTTTTGGTATTTTTCTCTCCAATTCTCTTTGTTTTTTGCCAAGATGGAAAAACCTGCGTTTTTCTTCTCTTTTGTTCTTTTACTTGCGGCTAACCTCTCTCTCTTTTTATACTAACTTCCTTAGGGTTTTCTTTTCCCTAAAGGCTGGGCTTTGGGCTTTTAATAAAACCCACTTGGGCTTTCCTCCATATAGAAGGAAATAAACCCAACACTATGGATATATATGTCAGGAGAAAAATTAGAGAAAAGTTGTTTGGAACTCTGAATCTGCCATATATAAGATGACTTCAACACACTGCCACTCCTATCATCGTCTTCTTCTTCTTCTGCAATAAGTTCTACTAGAATATTCAATGTTTGGTGGGTGTGGCATTGAGGGTAAGTGATAAAATGTTTAAATAGGTTAACTTACAAGTCAAAGGTTTACAAGTCAAAGGATAACAGAGTAAATTTAATTATCCCGTGTTAATGAGTTTGGAATGTCTTTGTTAACTTTATTAAAGTTCAGAGGGTTTGGAGTGCCTTGTTATTAAAGTTGAGAGAGGTGGTATTATTTAAAAATAAATCAACAACTTTTACATGAGTGTTCTATTGTCAAACTTAAAGGGTGTCATTATACTTTATCCTATAATAAAATGTTACATTGCTATAGAAATCATGACAAATATTATAACTCTAGTAAAATTAATTGTAGACCCATCGTGGACTCTTTTATTTTTTCTGCAAGTAAAATAAATTTTATTATAAAAAAGTTTAATTAACTCAAAAAATAAAATAAAATCAGGCAAAACCCCCGAAGAAATTAGGGGAATGAACTAATTAGACTCAAACAAAACTAGTAAATTATTGGGCTGGTATATATATCCTGTGGGCGTGGGTGATTGAGGTATGGAGATTGGGCTGTCTTTCCTAAGTGTGAAGGCTGACGGGTTGGGCCGAGGGTGGAATCCATATATGTTCAAGTCCTACCGACCCTTTTATTAGGTCGGGCCGAGCTGAGCCTAATTTTCATACTACTTACATTGGAAAAGTATATGAGGTCCCCCCATTGGAGCTCCAGCCGAAAGGCATAACTGAGTTTACTTGGATGTACTTTAATAGCTTCTTCTGTGAAAAAATAAAATTTTATAATTTCAATAATTGTTTGTATTAAAACATAGCATTACTATTTTTATATCATTCTCTAATTAGCCAAAAAAAAAAAAAAAAAAAGTCCACTAATGCTCGGTATATATGGAGAGAGTATACAAAAATTTAGTACAGTATGTGATACCTTATCAATGGGATGGTTATACTTTTTGTCACATCTCTATTACAAGGCAAGTTAAGAGCTTCTAGGACGACAAACACCCTATTACTTCGTCTGGCGTTGCGAAAGTAGTTGTCTAACGAGGAAGGGGTACGTGGCACTTTGAAGTTGGTGACAGCTAATATGAAATTAGAAAGAAAGAAGACGTACACCAAGTCGGAATATTATATGTATGATATATGTGACGTGATATATACATATAAGAGAGAGAGAGACTGAGAAAAAGGAGCGGATGTGCATTTTTATTTGTTTGTAGGTTGCGTATATATATTGATTTCAAATATCTTCTCCAAAGCGATGATGGCTGTAGTGGTAAACTGAGGACGGCACCGAATATGCATCGTAGACTTGAATTGCTGTGTTTGTCGTCTTACTCGATCTTCTCATATACTGTATATAACACTATTTATACACAATACTTTCACATATCATAGACTTGAATTGCTGTGTTTGTCGTCTTACTCGATCTTCTCATATACTATATAACACTATTTATACACAATACTTTCCTTACGGAACTACATCTTCCTCGATCTGTTGCATACTTCCTTCTGATCTCTCTCTCTCTCTCTCTCTCTCTCTCTCTCTCAAAATTCAATACTTACATATTCTTGGAAATCAAAGGTGGTCTCGATCACCATGGGAAGAACACCAGCTTGTTGTGACAAAAACGGACTGAAGAAGGGACCTTGGACCCCAGAAGAGGATCAGAAGCTCATTGCTTATATTCGCAAATTTGGCCAGGCAAACTGGAGGACTATCCCAAAGAATGCTGGTACCTACTTTATATATATATATATAATTATATATATGTGTGTGTTCTTAATTACTTTGTTGGTGTTAATTAATTAATTAGATGGGTATATATTTATCTTGTTTGCATGATTATATATACAGGTCTACAAAGATGTGGAAAGAGTTGTCGTCTTCGATGGACCAACTATCTAAGACCTGATATCAAAAGAGGTAGATTCTCTTTTGAAGAAGAGGAAACCATAATTCAACTGCACAGTATATTAGGGAACAAGTATGTTTTTCCTTGCTTCTTTTTGAACTAGCTTTTTGTTTCTTCATTTGGACTCCTGTATATATATATATATATATATATGAACATTAGATTAATATTAATTTTGCTCAAAAGTTAAATTTTGTATTAATGATTTCTTTTTGTTTTGGTACAGGTGGTCTGCCATTGCGTCTCGTTTGCCCGGAAGGACCGACAATGAAATCAAGAACTACTGGAACACCCACATTAGAAAAATGCTTCTCCGAACTGGAATCGATCCGGTCACTCACATTCCTCTTCTAAGCTCATCTCACATCAATTTGTTGGGTGTCCAACCCCGCCAAGTTAATCCAGAATTGCTAAGGCTGGACAATAATATATCTCTTCTATTGTCTGAACACGAAAATCACAACTTTCTTCTACAAAGTGATCAAGAAAATCAATATGGCAATGCCCAAGTACTCCAAAACCAATTGGTTCAATTTCATCAGACACCACCAATTCAAGACATTCCTGCATCTTGTACCAAATTAAGCCCATCTTATGTACCATTTTCTAATGAAACCCAACTACTCATGGAACCCAATTTGGAGCAACTTTCATCTACTATTACAAACCTCAATCCCCAAAGTTGTCAAGCAGTAAATGAGTGGCAAAACTATGAGATGTTATTGCCTTCTATTAATTTAGCTGAACATGATGAATTTATACCAAACTATAGCTATTACGGGTCGGATCAAAGAATCATGGACGTCCTTCCTCCTCCTGACAACTCAACTTTCCTTTCCAATGTCAACAGCAACAATTTCAGCTTTGAATCCGCTTTGTCAACACCTTCATCAAGCCCAACACCATTGAGTGTGTTCCAACTCCACGTATATCAACAACAGCAGCAGCAGGAGTACTGAAGATGAGAGAGAAAGCTATTGCAGCAACATGTTCAACTTTTTTAATCGATCCCATAAATTTTGGATATTGCATGTTAATCAGTTCATGTAAATCATACTGCATGTCAGAGAGTTTTGTTAATTGTCTTGGCTTTATTCTCGTTTATTGTTTCTCGTAAAATTCTCAAGCTAGCTAGACTTGTTCCAATTTATTAAGCTCAATGTATCAAAAAGAGAATTAATGATCATCTTTTCCTTGGTTTAATTAATTATTAATTTCCCTTATCATGTGAAGTCTCCATTAATTATTAATATGTTGTTCTGCAATTTTCTTCTCATGAATAATCAAATGTAAAAACATAAGTAATCAAATCATATATCCTTCATGCCTATCAAGCAAATATAATAAAAAATCATTGAGGAAGAAACTAATAATATGCATGAATAATAGACAAACATGAATGGGCAAGATAAAAAAACACTTCCATCTATATCCGACATGCAATGCAATCAAAAGATAATTAATAAATAAAACATATAAAAAATCAATGACATAAGAAATTAATTAATCCACATGTTATTGCCATAGTGACATGCATCACAAATAATTGCAAGTAGAGTTAGCTAAAATATAAGTATATAATGGGAAATAAAACATACATATGGATGGGCAATAACCAATCAAGTAAATTCTTGTATGTGTTTTTAAGATATAGCAGTATTGATAGGATTTAGAAAGTAAGTACTTGATATCTCGTTTTTAAATAATACTTTTAACTTAAATTATACATGTGTTATTATTCAGATACACATACTCTAAAAAACAAAAAACATAAAAATAAAAATAAAAATTTACCCCCACGTCTACAAGTGGTTTCATAGACCCCAACAGTGAGGCACTATCCGACCTGTGTCCGGCCACGTGTAAGTTAACCGACCTTCCACGTACTGAAAAAGTACTGTAATATACTACTCCGTACTACATATTTTATTTTGCACGGTATTTGTGTGGTGTTATGCATTTGACTGTATGGCCATTGGCTACGCAGAGTTTGACTAAAAAGAGTACGTGTCAATTTCTCAGTGCTTTATAAAGTTTATTCAAAATTGGCTCTTGTGCTTTTTATCCTTTTTTTTCATCTCCTAAATTGATGTTGCAGAGTCAAACCTAGCCCCTAATGGCTTACGTCAGCAGCATGGACACGTGGATCCAATTATGCTACAAGTCGGTCCCTCATACCGGATTATCCGGTAATGAAATATTCTTATCTAATAATGTACTTTTGCCGATTATTTCATTTTAAGTTTTAGTGTTAATAAAGTCTTGTATTTTAAACTAGTTCACTCCTACGTTCAAATTTGATGATATATGTCAATTATTCGCTATAATTAAAGTAAACTGTAATTTTATTTTATTTTACTCACTTTCTCTCTTCCTAAAAACTAATTTGTGAAATTTTCAATATTAATAGTCAATATTGTCCAATATGATGGCTTAATTTAACTAAAATAATGAGAAAGGAATATTGTTTTTATAAGCCAATTAATCTAGTGTTTTTTAATCAATTAGACAATAGTTTGAGGTGAAAACTAATCCTTGTTACTAGATCTGCCAACGAACTAATCCTTGTTACTAGATCTGCCAACGAGTTGGATTTGTATTGGATCAGATCTGATCCGATCCGAATTCGATAAACATTTTACTCAATGCGATCCTATTTTGTAATTTTTTTTAATAAAAAAAATCAAGATAATGTCAAAAGAGAATAAAAACAATGATTAGAAAAAAATGATAGAAAACAAAAAATAAATAAAATATAGAAAGAAAAATAAAATAAATCATTTACTCTTTATTAATGAATAAATATTATGACATTATTAATACATATATTAGGAGATTTATTATGAATTTGGATTGGATCGAACCTGATCCGATTCGAATCTGATAAACATTTTACTCAATTCGATTCTATTTTGTAATTTTTTTAATAAAAAAAATAAAAATAATGTCAAAAGAGAATAAAAACAATGATTAGAAAAAAATGATAGAAAACAAAAAATAAATAAAATATAGAAGGAAAAATAAAATAAATCATTTAGTCTTTGTTAATGAATAAATATTATGACATTATTAATACATATATTAGGAGATTTATTAATATGTGGGTGAGTATACCAAACTATTGTACGTATAACATTATAATTTTTTTTTTTTTTTGGTTATATTTAATATAAATCTAATAGGAGTATTATATATATATATATATATATATATATATAATCGGATTAAATTATTATTGGATCGGATCCGTATAAATTCATATCAAAATTGTTAACGAATCAAATTCGGATAGTAATTGCGTTATTAAATTAAGACTCGATTGGCTTAGCCACTGGCTATGAGAAAAAGTGTCCCAATAATTGAAAATATAGTGCATGGTTCTTAAACAGCTGAATCCGAAGTATACTCAATATAGTCCATCAAAATGTAAGTTGCAGGAAATGTTTACACCATATTGTCAACACCTACACCTTCCGGGGCTAAAAAGATATAGTCAACCCCGCAATAGGAACCACCACATGTTGTGTATCTCAATATCATTCATATGTTGTCATGTACAGTTACACCACATCATACTAACGGATATAAAATTATTACATGACAAATAAAAAATTTTGACATATTGTTTTTGAATTGTACTCTTAATTTAAATGATGTATGTATTATGATGTCGATAAATATACTTTAAAATAATAATAATTAAGTTTTAATTAATCATATTCCACTCGTACCATTCGAATTAAGGTCGATGTAAATAATCAAATAATTTTGATATCATGTAAAAAGCATCAAAAGGTATGGTAGTGTTCGACTCTGAGCCGACCATGGATAAAAGCCCTCAAGTATGCCCTCGCCCATCTCTTTCACATATCCACCGACCAAAGAAGAAACTCTTCAAAGTGTTGAATATGTAAACTGATTAAACCCAAAAGTGGGTTTATGTCTTTGCATGCCTGAGTTTTTTTATTCTTCTCAACTTTCTTTATTGCCGTAAAGTTGTATTTGTTTCTTTCTTACTTTAACTCTTAGCAATTGTAGATGTATGACAGAAAAGATCGAGAGTCGTGTACAAAAAGATATGGTAATAGGAAATGCAAACTCATGAAGATTTTGAAATGTTGTTTTTCATGTTCTTTGGACAGAAGAAGAAGTCTTAATTTTCATGTGAAAATAACTGGTCTTTAATAATTGGTCTCTTTTTGCTGCTGTTTTTCAAGCGACATCTGTAAATTCAATGGTTGTCATTGTCGATACCATGGGACAATGACAACCATTGAATTTGGCATATACGTTCAACCGATAATTAATACATATATATATATATATATATATTTAACTCTATTGATAAGTGTCTTGAGGTTTGATTTTAGATAACATTCAGATAATGAGTTTCCTGAATGAGGTGTGTGCGACCGATAATGAGCATATTTATACATAGCAATGAACGATAATGTGTGAAAGTTATATACGTACATATAGTTTCTTGAGGAAGAAAGCATTCTATATTTAGAAATTAAACTTATCAGAGTTGAATCCTATTTCAAGAAGAGCTAGCATATCTAATTCAGACATAATGTAGGAAATAATATATATTATCTAATTTATCTTCGTATATATATGTGTTCGCGATTGAAATATCAAATGTAGTGATATTGGAGCTGAAATGTCAAAATAAATTAAGTAACGTACTACTTTTGATTGGCCGTCTTTACCAAATACAAAAAAGATGGAATCCCACTTCCTTAAATAAAAATTAATAGGTACATTTATTAGTAGTGTCCTACAAGCTTTGGTATATTCATCAATTCATGCCGCTTGAGATTAGTCAAGTTTCTGTCACTTGCCTCTACCAATGTCATTAATTTCTTCATATCAGAAGAAAATTTTGGAAATTCTACAATACCGGGGGAGAATTTTGATACTTATACCACTTTCAAAGTTTCTCATTTATCTTGAAACTTCCAACTTTTCTATTTATCAAAGAAAATAAGGAGCTTTCATTGTGAGGGTATTAAGAGTCAAGATACACCCTCGGCCCGCCCAATTCCTTATGGGTCATGATCGCGTATATAGTCTGAGTTTTATTCAATTCGTGTGAGGGTCTCTTACACGAATCTCGTGAATTAATCGGGACACATCCCAATTATTGAAAGAAAAAAAATATGTCAGTTATTGTAGATCGAATTTATCATAAATTTCTTTACAAAAGGTAAGACAACAAAAATATTAAAATTAAAACTCATTCCAATGCTGTATTCTCTCCCAGTTTTAAATTAGGGCGAAATGGTTTTTTCCCCGTTAAGATCATATATACAACAACAATCACAAACTGTTATCATATCTTTCTTCATTAATTATACTCGTATTAATTTAAATTTTTCTTTTTCTCTAAAATTATCTTTAATGTGTGAGCTACGTTAGGAACATACCCAAGAACGTACAAAGGATCATCATCCCAAAGTACATAGCTATTAAGCAAAACAAAGTACTGGAAATAGAGAAATAAACATGGGTTGAGATTTATGGTTCCCTCCTTATTACCAGCCCAGTTGGAGACAGAGGACTGAATCTGGCCTTAAACTTAAAGCACGTCCAATCTATTGGCAGGCCTACTTAGGAATCCTCGTGGGCTTTGGTAGCTTATCGGGTCCATAGTGATAGTCCGTCGCTACAACCAAGTCCCTGTACAGATTTCAGCCTGTGAGGGCCCATGACACTACTATATTTGCCATATTGGTGAGAGCTTTAAATATATTATTTCGTTTTCGATTAATTTTGAAAGGAAGTGATGATCTCTCTCTCGGTAAAAAATTTAAATATTGTTTCGTTTTTTATTAACCTAATTTAATCAGATATACTTCTCTCTTACGACGTATTCTCGGAAAAAAATAAATAAATAAATAAAATAAAAAATTTCAACTTAAGAAGGAGATATTACTCAAAACATGGCAGTGTATTGGAGAGTCTTTCAACTCTATGGTGGGTAAGGCTCACCGACCTATACAAAAGATGCAAGAAATTTATTCTTTCATATTTATCTTGAAACACGAACCCTTTTCAAAAAATTCGTTTTTCTTATCAATGGTAATAAATAAATTCATCACTCATATACTCACTTTGTCAATTGAAAAGAAATTCAAATTTTAGCCTTTTATTTTGAAAGAAAAAAGAGATAATAAGCCACATGGCCCTTGATCTTGGCACGGTGCCGTTGATTATAATTATTATCTTTCTTTTGGTAATTACTTTCATATGAAGACTAAGGCCCTCCTAGGTAGAGTTTTTTCATATCAGACTATCTTCGTAAAAGGAATTTTGTTGAAAGAAATTTATATGAAAAAGACATTTGACAAGCACCTTTCTTAAATTTACTTTTAACTTTTAGATTATTTTTTTCTTAACAATAATATCCTTTATGATTAACAATTATTGCAAGTCTCTAATAAAAAGTGCGAAGACAATAGTGGTGGAAGGCAATAGCGATATTGGTGGTGGTGGAATATGACGATGTCAATGGTGGTGGTAGTGGCGGCGGCAGCAATGGCAGTGAAGGTCACGGTGGTCGGCGGCGACGGTGGTGGAATGTGGTAGTGGCGGCGGTGGTGTTGAAAAGGTTACGGTGGCAGTATTGGTGTTGAAAAGGTGACGGCGGTCAGAGGCGGAGTTAGGATTTGATTTTAGGGGGGCATAGTGGGAATTTTTTTTTTTTTTAAAAAAAGGGGAATGAAAAATGAATTTTTGAGGAAACAAATTAGAGCATGATTAAATAAGGGGAATTTAACCTTTTTAAAAAGGCAATTAAAGAAATTTAAAGAGTAAAAGAGAAAAAAATAGAAAAAGTTAAAAAAAAATTTAGAAATTAATAATTTTAGGGGATCATAATATACAAATTTATATATATATATATATATATATATATATATATATATATATGTAAAAAAAAAAAAAAAAAAAATTAAAAACCATATATATATACATAGGGCGGGCCCAAGATAGGGGCATGTGCCCCCTAGGCACAATGGCTCCGCCTGGCGACATAGAATTTAAGACAATTTTGTCAATCTATGAAAATACATTGGCAAATTAGTAAAATAGCAAATTTATCTTTTAAAAAATTAGCTTCTTAAAAGGAGGTTTCAAATATAACATTTTCTTACTTCTATGAAGTGGGCTTTCTGACCATTGGCTTCTTGAGAAAGTCCATTACATATGTGTAACCAAATGTCACAAATTTTTGCAAATGAACTTTTTAAAGTTGAAAGGACTTTTTGAGGCTTCATGAAACTCTCCCAAACAGGGCCCTAAATTTTAGATATACATTAAGTCAATTAAAATTAATATAATGACGTCCTTTTTTTTTTCTTTTTTTCTTTTTTCTGTTTTTTTTTTATTATCAGATATTGGCAACTCTACTTATAAAAAATAACAATTTCATTTATCCTTCTAAATGGAAATTAAGTCAAAATAATTATTTTGAAATTCTCCCATGATATAAGAGAAAATAGTCTTTTTTTTTAAAGTGAACGGGATTCAAGCTGACTAAACTAAAAAACAAGCACAAACTCTCTATTAATATGCATGTCTTAGTTGAACTTGAACTCTCAACTTTTCTATTCGAGGAGAAGAGGTTATACCATTGAGGTAGAAGTCCTTTAGTCAAGAAAAAAAGAGAGGTTAGATTAGGATAAAAATTTCAAATTTTCATCCTAAATTGGAAATGAAGTCGAACAAGAAATAGTTTATTACCTTTTAAATTGGAAATGAAGTCGAACAAGAAATAGTTTATCACGAAATATATTAAGGTTTAAGGTCTTGTTTGATTCAAGTTTTAGATTTTAGAAAATAAAAAAATATGAAACATTTATATATTTAATACCAAATGTCTAAAAACTTGGAAAGTAAAGGCTTGGGTGGTTTATTACTCAAAAAAACGGAGAAACAATTTTTAGAAAATGATAAACGCATGTATTATTTTTTTTATTTGAGTTTTCTGAAAATTGTTTTAAAAAACTGGCAATGAAATAGATTTTAATACAATTGGTTTTCAGTTCTTAAAAAGTAAAAAAATTATTCTCAGAAAGTTGAACAAAACTAGCACTAATTCATACTCTTTACTAACAGTTGGTAATTTTATTTAAAATTTTTTAAGGAGCCTACTAACAAAATTTTATAGATAAAATAAACTTGATCATCAACCACATTGGACAAGTTTGATGTATGAATCATTGAATCTCCTGACGATGGATGGAAGATTAGGAATTTGAATGTGCATAAAATTTAAAATGTAGGTATGATAGAATGTTTAAAACCCTAAAAATTAATATCATTTGATTCTCCAAGTCAAATAAATGTTTAAGCTTACCAGTTTGTCTGTGAGTCTAATTACTAAACTGATTGTTTCGGTTGGACTTGTCAAACGAACGAACTCAATTTTTTTTTTTAAAACTTATATTAAAAAATAGTGCAGTTTGAATTATTCAAGAAAATTAATTGATTAAAACTTATATACGTAGGCCGATGTATATTTCATTAGCATAAATAAAATAAATGCTTGTACAAAAATAAATGTTGACAAAATTAATTGTAAAGAAAAATGTCTTTGACTTTTTGCTAATTCTTTTCTAATTTTTTTTTTTTTTTAAAAAAAAAAATCAAAATCTTATTTTCATTTCTTCATTAACAAGATATTTTCATTCATTAATAGCCCTAAAGTTAGGAATTGGCATAAGCAGCAAGAAAGAAGAACCGCACCACCGGTTCAGTGATCGAACCCATTTCGACTTCCCGGATCCACCTCCAACCACTGTCGTCGCACCTTCGTACTCCTCTCTTTTCTCTCTCTCTCTCTCTCTCTCCGCCGCCAAAGCCCTTTAAAGAAAACGCGCTTGCCTGAGACCGCCACACAAGGGTCACCGACCGACGAGTCGACGTTGATTGCAAATTTTGATTCTCAGATGAGATGAGTTGGAGATGAGCAATTGTTGTCCACATCCGATAGAAAATGCTGAAAACAACAATATCACTACAACATCTGATTCAAATACTACAAATACTATTAACCACTACGCGTGAAGACCAAGCATCGCCATGTCAAGGTCCGTAACTTTCTTGCCAATTCTCATACTTTTAGGGTTTCTGTGTTTTTGCTTTCCGCGATTCTCTGAGGTATTTCCGTAGTTCTTGCGTTGGGTTATTAGGTTTTGCTTGAAACTGTTTTTGGTACTTTTGATGGATTGGGATTGTCGAATTTTTGCATATTTTGAATTTGAATGAGTATTTAGGTTTTCATGCTTTTATATCTACTATTTATTTTCTTTTGAAGAACTGTGTTCTATTGAACGTTTATTAATTATCTTCAGACCTAAATCTACTGTGGGTCAATTTTATAATGTTCAAAAATGATCTGGAAATTCCCATATTGAATCCAAGGGAAAATTTAGGCTTCACATTTGGAACAACGGAGCTTAAGCTCAAATTCAATTATGCATTATGCAGATACCTGGTTATGACGATGCCCATCAAATCTGAACTTTTGGGATTTCCCAGAGCGTGGTCATTTTGATTTTGAACATAAGTAGCAAGTTTAATTCTGACTAGACAGTTGGTTTTCATAGCATGACACACTTGAACTTCTTAAATGAAATAATTGATGTATCTTCTAGCTGACTCTTTTCAAATAAAAGTTAAGCCATCGTGTCAATCTCACAATAGAACTTATGGTGGTAATTGACTCTTATTGCCGGGAATGCAGATTTCTGACAATTGGAAATATTAGGAGAGCTGCACATTTTATTCAAGCAAGGCAGAGGAGCATCTATTCAGAAGGAAGCAAGTATGGGTTGGCCGTTGCGGCTGGGTCATATTCCCCCCAATATAGATTATACTCGCGGTTGTTTCCTAGCGGGGGAAATGGTTCATTCATGGCACACAAAATTAAGGATGGTTTCCACAATAATAGTTTTCCAAGAAAGTTTTCATTCATCCCGGCGAGTAAAACAGCAGCATATCATGCCCAAATTGCTTGGAAGAGGCTCACACAGATATCTTCTCACAATGGTAGAAGTCATCCCCACATAAGTAAAATCGCTCAAGCAGTCAGCTTGGCCTTGGCCAGATCTTATGTGGTTGTTCCTGGTTTGTTTGCTTTAACATGTGGGAATGTAGCATGGGCACAAGCATCAGCAAATACAGATCTCTTCCAGCCAAGGAATACTTTGTACATGCGTGCAGAAGATGGGCATGCTTTTTTGACTGCATTACTCCTCTCAGTATTTGAAGGTGTTGTCCTGTTGCTAAGAGCTCTTTATTTAGCAATCTTGTTCTCACCCAGCATAGTAATGGCCCCATTTGCGGATTCTCTTGGACCTGAGTTTAGGAAAACGTGGCTTCGGGTAGTTCATAAGACGCTGGAAAGAGCAGGCCCAGCATTCATAAAATGGGGCCAATGGGCAGCCACACGGCCAGACCTCTTCCCTAGGGATTTATGCTCCGAGCTGTCAAAGCTCCACACCAAAGCACCTGAACATAGCTTCGCTTATACAAAGAAGACTATTGAAAAAGCTTTTGGTCGTAAGCTTTCTGAAATTTTTGATGATTTTGAAGAGGCACCCGTAGCATCTGGAAGTATTGCTCAAGTGCATCGAGCTTCTCTAAGGTCTAGATATCGTGGTCGACAGATCAAGCCCATTGTAGTTGCGGTAAAGGTTAGGCATCCTGGTGTTGGTGAATCAATCAGAAGAGATTTTGAAATAATTAATATAGCAGCAAAGATTTCAATGGTCATTCCTACCCTGAAGTGGTTGAGGTTGGATGAAAGCGTACAACAGTTTGCGGTTTTTATGATGTCTCAGGTTGACCTTGCAAGGGAAGCTGCCCATTTGAGCCGCTTTATTTACAATTTTCGCAGATGGAAGGATGTTTCTTTTCCTAAGCCTGTATATCCACTTGTGCATCCTGCTGTTTTGGTGGAAACTTTTGAGCAAGGGGAAAGTGTCTCACACTACGTTGATGAGCTTGAAGGACATGATAGAGTTAAAAGTGCGCTTGCCCACATTGGAACACATGCACTTTTGAAGATGCTTCTGGTAACATATTTAATTTTTGACTTTATTTACGCTTGCAGTAATTTTTGCATCTGATATTTTTTGGTTGCATTGTTCATTTGCTGCTATTCCTAGTTTCTATTGATGTGTGATAATTGTATAGAATTGATATGGTTGCATTGTCAGAGGAACTTGGTTATTATTATTATAAGATGATAGGTGTTATGCTCCTAATTTGCCTCATGAAATAGCTAGGGGCCTTTAGTGATCACACCTTATTTATTCTTTGGAATGAGAATGAAATACATGTTATATTTTGTGAGAGTGGGTATGCCAACTTAGATGTCTGACCAGGTATAGTCCTTCTTGACTTTATGGTGTATAACATTGCTGATAAGGGTCTCCGTTTGAATTCTAATTTTAGTTTGCTTATCATTATGTGAAGTCATGAAATTTAATAAATTCGTGTAATCTTTCTGCAGAAGATAGTATTTTTCAGCTGTTGATCAAAGCCGTAAATTGATTTAAACACATTCTGGATTAGGTGAGTGTGGCTTGAAATGGGAAAGTAAACTGAACTGGGATTTTTATTATCTTAACCTAGAAACTGAATACACACACACACACACACACACACACACACACAGGAAAAAAGCCTTGAATCCCTGAACATAATTTTAACCCGATGAAAAAAAAAATAAAGAAATTTTAATCCTAGCAATACCAAATGAATTTCCCATACGATTGGCTTAAAGGATTGTATGGAGGTTTCATTGAGCATGTATATATATATATATATATATATATATATATAAAACCTTCTAATATATATATATATATATATATACTATAATATAAAGCAGAAATGATCTCTTGCACACTGGTGAGCAAGAAATTTAATCACACAAAGTATAGTGACTGTTGGATACTTAGAAATGATTGCTATGTTTTTTTTGGTAACTACCTTTTTTGAACTTAGATCAAATCCAACGGCCACTATGTTTGGTGTGGAGAAAGTTTCTTTCTCACCTGTGTGCAAGAGATCATTTTTGTTCTATAAAGACCTTTTAATATATAAATACCTTCTAATATACGAATACACACACACACACACGCACACTCATAATAGTATTGTGCAGGTATAATATCTAACTTACAAGGGTTGGTTTTCTAAGTTTGATTAGTCAAACTTATATTCAATCTAGATAAATTTTTTGTAAGTTTTTTGGTGCAAGGCAGGGATAGGATGAGTGTTGGATGTCTGATGTGCATTTAAACCTTTGTTTGGGGTGTTTTAGGTTACAGACGGAAATGCCTACCTCTTTTGGTTCCAATTGTGTCATGTGTTGAATCTGTTGTGAACTTGTGGTGTCTTCGGTCGACATTTTGAGTACTCGGATTTTAATTCCAATTGCATATTGGTCCGGTTATATTTGTCCATTTCCAAATAAGCTCCATAGAGAAGTTCATTGTGAATTTTGTATAAAGCATGATTACCAAATCTGAATATAAAACCATTTAAAACTATTGTTGGGCATTAAATATTCTCCTTCATCATAATGTGATTTCCACCGCATTTTCCCAACTAAATGCCTAAAACCATATTAACGTTTGACCATTGGATGATCTAAAACAAATTTTGTGCAGTTAAAATATGAATAAACTCAACGAGGAGCCAACTACTGACTTTGACTTTAAAAAAGATCCAGAAAATTGTCATGCGTCGACTTGGATTCCTTTATTGCTGGGTAGGCTTGTGCAAATAAAATATAGATGGCTTTGCTAACTATAAATCCATGTTTTTTTTATTATGTACCCAAAAGGGATAAGATTCATGAATGCAACTTCATCATCATGTAGATATTTTAAAAATATATAACCAAATCTTCAAAATGTTAAGTATCACCCGATATGTCTTTATCTGATTAGTCTGAAACCTTGGACACCATTGGTATCATCACCAAAATTACATCAACCAACAGACAGTTGTATTGATTATGTTATGATTCTTCACCCTGGACATTTTCAAGACAAAAATAATAGTGCTGGTTGTCTAATATTCTTTAGATATTCACATAAAAAATTTGTGCACGTATTGAGTTCTCATTATTTTTGGTATTTCAGTATTGCTAGCATGATCATATTGGGAAAAAAATTACTATGAACATGAACTACTTTGGATGTGCATGCCTCAATTCATTGTGCATGATTTTTCGTTAGTGCTAAATTGCTCATCATTTCTTTTTGTGGAAACCAGTTATTAGTGCTAAATTCTCAAACCTTATTTGTTTCCTATGGTCATTTTTCTAAAAAGATGACTTACAAAATTGTGATAATTGTGGTTCCATTCTCATTGGAGGAGAAAATGGCATTGGTACTTCACCTGTTCTCAATGCCATAATAGTATTACAGAATTACTAGAAAACTTCCTAGTCAGATCCTTTTACAATTAATAAACTCAGGTCTTAAGTCATGCCACAGTACCTTCCTTTTTCTACTAAAACGAATTTAAAGAAAAGATGGGAACTGTGTTTGGTTCATCTATCTGACTTGAGATGTGATATGGTCTCTCTAAATATGTTTTCCGAATGTTATTGGGTTCTATATTCTAATCTTAACTTCTTTGTAATCGTCACCATGCAACATCATTGGTATTGGTACTCATTTAGTATCATAGTGCACTATATGAATTTTTTTCTTTGCCACTGTGTTTTTAGGGAGTTCTTTTTATTAATAACTAATTGTGAGAAGTTTGATTGCTCTTAATTTTTGTAAAACGAAAGAGAAATAGTTCTGGCTTCTGAGACCTGACTCCTCTTCTTTCAGGTGGACAATTTTATTCATGCTGACATGCACCCTGGAAATATCCTTGTCCGGGTAGCTAAGAGCAAGTCTTCTCGGAAACGGCTTTTTAAATCAAAGCCTCATGTCATTTTCCTTGATGTAGGCATGACGGCTGAACTTTCTAAGAGTGATCGAGTAAATTTATTAGAGTTTTTCAAGTCTGTTGCCCGTCGGGATGGTCGCACTGCAGCAGAGTGTGCGCTTAGATTATCGAAGCAACAGAACTGCCCTAATCCAGAGGCTTTCATCAAGGTAGTATAGTAGGCACACAATTATTTTTGGAGTCATTAATTTGGATGTCGCTATTTTACGTTAATTCTTTTGGTAGGATCGCTATGAATTTATGTTTTAGTTGTGGTTACCAACAGAAGGATCCATTGTTTTGAACCGTAGTACTTCCACAAAATATAGTAATTAATGTATATTTATCCTTTGACATAGTGGCATCTTCATCTTTCCTGCAATATTTTTATTTATTTATTTATTTATTTTTGATATGTATCATCTTTCCTGCAATATTACTTCTCTACCACTGAAAAAGCATCCTATTGTGGTGATGTCTATCTTGTAATTATTTATTAACTGGACTAAGATTCTAAAGTTTTGAACTTGAAAGTTGTTCGAGCTGAGAATATGTGCTGTGCTGCATTTACTATCATCAGTGCTAGATGTGGCAAAGAGTTATTCTCTTATGTGGAACGCTTGTGAATACAATTGCCTTTCTTGAATAATCTCAATTGTTGATGCTTTGTATTCTGTAGCATAAGATGGAAGAATTTCTACTTTACAATAATAAAAATGCATCTTATAGTATTAGTTTGAGATTTTAAAATTTATTTATAAGAAAGATTTATTACTTGCTTGTTTAATTTATTTTAAAACTTATTATGAATGAATTTCACAATTTATTTGAGGTTTTTTGTGTATGTGTATTCAGGTTGTTTGGAAGTATATGTAGTAGTAATTTAGACCAGCTTATATTTATATATTGCTGGTATATTGCTTGGTGTGCATGAGGTCTCTTTTCTCACTTTGTGCATGTACTTTATCATGTGATACACATCTATGTGCATTTTTTGTTCTCTAAATTATCTTGTTTTAACAGGAAGTGAAAGATTCCTTTGATTTTTGGGGTACTCCAGAAGGTGACTTGGTCCATCCTGCGGATTGCATGCATCATTTACTTGAGCAAGTTAGGCGTCATAAAGTCAACATTGACGGCAATGTCTGCACTGTAATGGTTACAACTTTGGTTCTTGAGGTAAATTGTTTTCTTCTTGTGCAAATGTTTCCATTCTGCTTTATTCAAGATGCCCTCATTTTGGAAATGGGAAGAAGAGGCAATTTCCTTTAGGATTAAAATATGTAAAATTTCATAAGGTTTGTTTGTTTTCCTTCATCAAATGAAGAAAGTCTCTTCATTTTATGAGCTATCTTACTTGGATCTAATTAGCATAGAAATGATACACACACAGATGCACCAGTACAAAAATCTTACTCCATTCATCCCATAATAAGTTTCCTGATTTCCTTTTTGGGATGTCCCAGAATAATTTTCCACTATTGTTTTTGAGATATTTCAAATTTTAACTTCTTTCAAATTGTCCTTTGATATTGAAATATTTTCAAATTAATGAAGTAAATGTTTAGTTTCTGTTGGGTTAGTTTTAAAAAGTTGGAGTCCTAAAGGGCATCACTCATTATGGAACTGAGGTAGTAAACGAGGACATCAGTAAGGTTAGGTCACTAAAATATAAAATGTTTAATTACTATATATAAAAAAGGGCTATTGCTTTGTGCAATGGTAAAGCCATCAGAGACAACTGCCAGGATGCAGGTTCAAGTGTGGGAGCAGCCATTTTGTGCGAAAAGAAGCCAAAGGTTAAGTCTCTCTCTAGACTTTCCCTCTCATCATCCTGCCCAGCTGAACCAATACTGTTTAATAGCCTTTTATATCTGTTATACATGACAAATATGTAACTTTACTTCAATTTTTTTCTTTAGATAATATACACACCCACAATGGCCTCGTACGAGTACTTGAACTTTGAACCTTTCACTTGAAAGTATTGAAGATGCCATTAGAGCTAACCTCTAGGTAGTTTTATTAATTTCCAATAAGAATTGTATAATATTGAAGATGAAATTTGAAAATTATACCCCGATTTTTTTTTTTTTTTGAAAATTATGATAAAAATCCTTATATAATACGTACTCCTAATATTTTCTTATTGTACCTTTGTTTTTACAATTTTATCTTTTATCTTTAAAATGTTCATATTTTATCTTTAAAATGTTTGTTGCATTATCTAGATATCGAGGACATGGTTCTACATGCTTCTGTTTTTATCTTTAAATGCCCATTGCATGGACACGGACATGGGAACAGATGCAACGCTACACAAATACAGCTATATGAAAAATTCTTAAAAAATAAGATACAAATATGGCAAGGATATGGTAATATATATTATATATATATATGTATGTATGTATGGGTAAGTTTAAATATTAATGTGGGACTAAATTAGTCATGAGATATATCGAAGTACTTCAAAATGAAGAAATTTTGAACTTTCTAAATAGTTTTACTGTGGCATTGTTCTTGGGAAAGTTACATTTTAATGTTCAAAACTTGTTAAATATATGTTTAAAATATCCAAGAAGTTCGGATATTTGGTCAGAGTGTTTGAGAAAATTATCAAATACACGTTAGGAATTTAAATTATTATTAGAGTTCTGGATACGTTTAGGAAGTATCGGACATTTATCAGTGAGTACTCGAGAAGTATTGGTGTTTGACACGCACAAGATACATGTATGGCACTCTTATAGATGTATCCGTGCTTTTGAAGGTTTACTGTATTTAAACTTAAATGATGAAACTAAGAGCTAATTATTATTCATTGACAAAAATGTTCAAGACATGATATTAGAGTGGCACCATTTTATTCACTAAATTGGTATAAAATATGGTTGTTGTGTTCTACAAATATCTAAGATGTCAATGAAAATTGTGGAAAAATGTCTAATATGTTATACTAGAATTACTTGTACATATTTATGTTGATAAGTATAATCAATTGAAAGAAGTCTTTTACCGCTATTTGGTGCATCAGGTACAAGAATCCTTTATTGCTAATAACCTTAGTCAAATCATATGTTATCATATCTTATTTATTATCTCAACCATGTTATTTCTGATGTTCTCCTTTCTTTGGTACCTTGTGTGCATTGCATCACTCTTTTCACTACTACAATTATTAATTTTTCTTTGTTGCACACGATTAATCTAATTCGGTTGATTTTCTATTATCTTATTTCCCATTGGTACTAGTTCAAGTCTTCAACCGGGTAATGAATGTGTTGAATTATAATTTGTTGATGACCGCGCCACGATAGCTAATTAAGTGGCGCCACCTCTGCAACATAGGCACAACTGCCAGTGCTTACCTGGCGTGTCTATGATGGATTAGGTATTCTCGAGTTACCTATCCGATAACTGAATTCACTGGCCGAGGAAGGGTTCGCTACCCTTTCTCTACTGTGGACGCGCCCCGCTCCAGTCGGATGGGCTCCCACCCCCCCCCCCCCCCCCCCCCCGGCTCGTTCGAGGGCGCTCTCTAAAAGAGCGACCTCGACTAACCTGTTTACACATTTCCCTTCTCGGCAAAGAGGACCTCGGGATAAAATTGGGATAGGACCCTGCGAGGTTATGAAGGCAAGACCTCGAAAGGGACCTATCCTCAGCACGGGAATCTGAGAACATGTGGATAGGTGGCTGAGATCCAAGGGCTCGCCTCAGCCCGAGGCCAACACAAGGGGGAAAGAATACTTGGTACCTAAGCTCGAGCAATGAAGGATAAGAAACGCATTAATTGCGACAGACGTTTGATAAGACCCGTATTAATTAGGGAGCGTCGTTACATCCTTTGATCGGGGGGCAAAGCGCCGCGACCCATCCATCAATGTCTCATCCGTCAGAAGAAGAGACAATCAAATCTTTGGGTAAGAGCGGGCTCAGCTAAAGGACTAAAAGACATTGACCGATGAGGTAAACACTATAAATAGGGGTGTTAATCAACCTTTAAGACGGACAACTACCACATTAACGACTATTCTCTGATAAGCTCGAGCTCACATGGTACCAAAGTCGGCATTCCTATTCTTAATCTCCATACCTAGAGAATCCCTTGTGTTGCTTGGATCTCCACTTAGATACTGATCTCAGACTTCTTGGCTTACGTGGAACGATTTTCTCATCCTACTCACGAACTATCATCAACATAATTTTAATTCATCTCGTGTTGCTACGTATCAATCTCAACATTCACATTTGAGCCATATTCATTTTATGAGTATATTCTTTTTTTTAGTTGCTTCAAATTCTGTATTATAGTTATTTTATGAAATATATATTGACAAGTATGTTATGCTTGGGGACTTAGATCCTCCTCAATCTTTTTTTAGTCCGAGTCTTTATCGGACAATGCACAATACCACGTCACTAAGTAGTATCATGCATGTTGTGCAATGAAAGTTGAGACAGGAAAAGACTCAAAGCGGATCCTTGGCCTATGCTTAGATTGTATTGCTGACGTTGAAGATGCTTCAAGTTTTTGTTAAAGTGAACTGTTCATGCAAATTCACTAATTCATGTTCTTTGTGCATGCTATACTTTTTAGGGTTGGCAGCGGAAGCTTGATCCTGATTATGATGTGATGCACACGCTACAAACGCTGTTACTCAAAGTTGACTGGGCGAAGTCACTTTCCTACACAATTGAAGGGCTCATGGCACCATAAGAAGGTTCTTGTCTGTTTTGTTCCTGCATACCAATTTTGACAGTTTAAAATCGCTTTGGAAAAAAAAAAAAAAAAAAACATATCTCTGTCCGGAGAAAGACCTGGAGCATCTCGGGTTTGTTCTTTTATCTCTTCAGCTGGCTCTTATCGTGGGCCTTCTCATAAATTTTTATAAAGGAAAGTTTTGTCCCGTATTTATTGGCAAGTTATTGTTCCACTGATAATTACTTTTTACTCAAGCCTCCCAACTCACAGGCAGAGGCACTAAAAATGGGGAGACAGAAAGAAATGAAGACGCGACTTTTTGACGTTCCTGTACATTTCAGTTTCTTTCTCCCGAAAGAGATTAACAAAAAAGACCTATTCATTTAGATGTTATTGAAATTCGTGTTGATGTCTTCAGTTTGTGTACATCTTATGAGGGGGAGAAAAAAGTGTTTTGGTTTGCGTAAGTGACCTTGCAATTCAATAGTTGCACATTTTTTGATTTGTATAGTTGACTTTTATGCCATAATTCCACATCCACGCGCCTTGGTCATCTTTAGAGGGTGGTGGGTACTGCATAAAATGTTGCCATTCTGGATACAAGATGAACCACCATGTTGCACGTACGAGAGGCCGTGTAGAGCAGTTGTTATTGAAGTTTGCAGCACCAAAAGGGGAGGATTTGACTTGATGAATCTATCAGTTGAGGTTTTGTGTCACGGATGATAGAAAGATTGTTGGAATGTAGTATCAGAACTTACTGCCAATATCCTCGTTTTTGTTCTTGCATATCCTGAAAGATGTAGCTGATGAGTAGATAATGTCCTATTTTTTGCAAAGATATAGTTGTACGTGATCAATGACGTAGATATATAATAATGCTTCATGCTATTTTAGTATAGGTATAAATAAGAATGTGTGAGGCGAAGGAAACAAGTACCTTAGCCAAAAAAAAAAAAAAATCTGCCAGAAGAGCAAAAACATGATTGGGTGCAGCGCTGATGAAGTCGACAATTTCCCGCAAAATAATGAAAGAAAAAAGAAAAAAAAAAAGAGTGGGGTAGGGATAGGACGACTTCATCAACGCTGCACTCAATGATGTTTCTTAAATCTGGATATACAGACTCCTTGCCTTTGCCTCTATTGCATTAGATCAACAATCTCTCTCTCTCTCTCTCAAACACATTAGCTTTACAATCTGTTCATATATATATATATATATATATGAATGTAACCAGATGATCGTACAACGAATTAGTACATTCATTTGTACTGCAATTTCACTTGCCATACTTGATGATATTCCTTCTCTCTGGACTGCTTACTATATTATAAATAAGAGTTGGTTAAAATATGTACTAGTTGATCTATTGTACTGAAAACATGTACTACCATCCTTCTGTCCACAACTTGGGAAAACGAAAAGGTCTGGTTACTACTAATGCTACCTTTTCTCTTCTAAAAACACTACCCTTGTCAAATAATCAATAGAAAGAATTGTGGACTTATTCGCAATTGCAATCTATCGAAGATGTGAGAACAATTATTCATTTTTTTGTTTTTCTTGTTTTATCTTGACCGTTTTTCTTTTTATTATCAATAACAATTATTTTTAACTCGGCAAGGAGGGGAGGATGGGATGAGTTGAATCTAGACTACAGGAGAGTGTCTTTACCAATTGGGCTACCTAGTTCATCCCCTATGTGGAGATTTAAACACTCTAATGTTGCATTTGGTGTATAAAAATGGAATGTAAGTGTAAATGGAATGAGAATGGGAATGAAATGATCATTCTTATTTTATTGTTTTGTTGTAAATATGAAATGTGTATGAATTGAATGATAATAACCATTCTACTGTTTAGTTGGACTAATTTAAAATTTAGAATGCAATAAATTTCAAATTGAATTCTCCAAAATATCCCTTTTAGTAACAAATAAATTAAATTAACAAAATGACATTTTCTAATAATTTTTAAAAAATAAATGGTGGCAGTGGTGGAGGTGGAAAGTGGTAGTGATGTAGGTGGTGGTGTTGGAAGGCGGCGGTGGTGGCAATGGTGGAAGGCGATGGCGGTGGTAGAAGGTGGTGGCTGGGACGGTGGTGGTGGTGGAAGGTGGCGGCGGTGGTAGAAGACGGTGGTGATGGAAGGTGGTGGAAGATGGTAATGGTGGTGGATGGCAGTGGTGGCATTGGAAGGAAGTGGCAGTTGAAGGCGATTGCGGTGGTGAAAGGAGGTGGTAGTGGTAGTGAAAGGTGGTGGTAGTGGTGGTGGAAGGCAGTAGCTGTAACGACCCTAGCTGATGCCAAAATTAAAAAAAAAAAAAAATTCGACATAACCTCCCCTAAAAATGGGCCTTCAACAACCTATCCCAATACACAAAACACATAATATCATCCAGCATCCCATTCATCCGTTCATTATATCTCAACATAGTTCCTCTCATGGTGGAACATCCATACACCAATTAATCTAAATTATCATAATTACAGTCCCAAAATACATGGTTAAGATTTAAAGTTCCTGTCTTACAACGTTACATGATACAATTATATGGAAATATATACCATAATTCCATTAGTTTCATTTACATCAAACAAAAGATAAGTTCGTTCTTAAGTTACAAGGCTATGAATACTAACTTAGTTACATCCCCAAAACTATGAATATATATAAAACGGTCAAAATACAAAATAGCAAACAACCTTCTAACAACTTTCAAGCTTGAGGTGGATTATCGTCCACCGGTTCATTTCTAAGACCTGAAAAAAATCATATAAATAGTAGGGTGAGCATAAAGCTCAGTAGGTGACACTTGAGACACAATTCTTGTGTCCTTGTGAATCCAAACAAAGCATAGGCCAATGGAAAATAGGGATCATGCAATATAGGGAATTAAAACAATATGCACGTCAATTCCAATTATAAACCATGCAGTGCAATGAAATGCAATGCATGCTAATGTCACTCCCCATTTTCATTCACAAAACCATCACTTTCAAATGTTAATACAGCCCGCCTTTTGGTAACCCCGCCGCGACACGAGAGGAGGATTGGCTATCGTCCCTAGACCTTTGGTAACCTCGCAGCGTCATCGAGGGGCCCGAATAGCTCAACCACGCTAGGGCGACTCCCTAGTCCCCTTTAGGCTATATTAACCTCCGGCCCGTTGGTAACCCCGCAACGACCGGGTTTATCAAAACTATTTGACAAAACTCTTCTCCCAAAATTTCCTCCATTTTCATTTCAAGACAAATTCTCCCATTTCATGCATCCCAATGACATGTGCATGGATGTACATATAATCTTAATATTATGACAATGGGAAATTTGGCACAATCTAAATAAACATGTTCTTATTAGTCATTTTTAGCATGTTAACACATAGTGGACATAATAAAACAACATCTAAACATATTTTACACATGAAACAAGTCATAATCAAGCTTTTGAAAATTCTCTAGACATCATTTATACAATCATAGATACAATTAACTCCCAATTAAACATGTTCGACACAATAAAGAGGTGTAATTCACAATAGAATAAGAAAGGAGTGGATTAAGATACCCCTACCTCAAAATGAGCAAAATCCCTAGAAATGGGTTCTTAAATTCTAGCTCCCAAAGAGGACCAAAAGCTGGAATTTCTGGTACTAGCATGTATTTGCCTCAAACGGCACCTAAATCCGCCAAGTAACGAAAAAGAAATCTTGCCTCAAAGATTGGGTTGAAAAAGAAAAGAAAATGAAATAGAAAATTAAGAGAGAGAGATAGATACGGGGAGAGAGAAAAAATGAGAGACCAAAAATGGTCTCTAGCCACTTAAGATTTAGTGGTGGGACCTACCAAAAATTCTTTTCTTTTCTCTTTTTCTTTTTCTTTTTAATTTACAGACATTACAGTGGCTATGGTTAAAGGCGGTGGCAGTGGTGGCGGCGATGGCAGTGGTGGTGGTGGAAGGTAGTGGCGGTGGAAGATAGTAGCGGCGATGGTGGTGGTGGTGAATGACTACGGTGGTGATGGAAGGTGGTAGCGGTAGCGGTGGTGGTTGCGACAAAGGAAGGCGGTGTCGGTGGTGAAAGGCGGCGGTGGTGGAAAGTGGTGGACGATGGTGAAAATCGGTGGCCATGGTGGTGGAGGAAGGTGGTGGTGGTGGTGGTGGTGGTGGAAAGTAGTGGTGATTTTTGGACTTGGAATATGAGGGTTTTTTGGGAAGTTGATTTAAAAAAAAAAATTGACGAATGAAATGGCCATTCTATAGGTTTAGTTGTGGAATGGATTTTTATTCCAATGGAATGGTCATTCCCACTTTAATTTGTATACCAAACAAATGAATGGTTGGAATGGACATTCCATTCCATTCCTTTTCATTGATGCACACCAAACGCAGCAAAACTTTCTAACTTTTTCTAATTTAGAAAGTAGTAGGTTATTTCTATTCTGATTTTTTTTTTCCTTAAAAAAAAATAAAAAAAAATAAAAAAAAAATAAAAAAAAAATGAGAGGTTATGTTTTTCACCTTCAACTACTTAAAACAATATGGCTTCACTCAAAATTTGCCTTAAAATGTGGAATAATACATCATTTTCATCTGATCAATTGATGATTGGTACATGTATTCGAAGATTTCTCCAATTGTGAAGCATAATATCTTATAAAAAAAAGAAGATTGAGAATTTGCTTAATTAATTATCTTGTACGGAGAAATATTTTACCCCGTGCATCTTCTTTCATAATGCGCAAAACCTCATTTGGTGGATTGTGGTGCCAAATTTGAGGATGCTTGTAATGTCTGTAAGTTATAAAGAAAAAGAGAAAAGAAAAAAAAAAAAAAAGGTGGGACCCACAGCTTTTGTACAGTGGTCATAAGACTACGTTTTTTTTTTTTTTTTGGTCTCTAATCTTATTCTTTCTCTTCCCTACGACAGAAGCTTTCTGCTCTCATTTTTCTTTTTTCTTTCTCTTGCTTCATGAATTTCACTATTTGATTTCTCCCTCATCTCTTAGTGTTTTTAAGTGCCGTTTGAGGTAAAACAAAGCCCGCGACGAGCTCTACGCACTCATACAAGCAATTTCAGTTTTTGGTCTTCCTAAGGACTTCGAATTTAGAAACCCATTTTAAGAGTTTTGTGCAAATTTGAGGTAGGGGCATCTTAATCTACTCATTTCTTGTTCTATTGCGAATTACACCTCCTTGTTGTGTCAAACATGTTTAATTGGGAGTTAATTGTATCTATATTTGTATGAATGATGTCTAGAGAATTTTCAAGAGCTTGATTATAACTTGTTTCATGTGTAAAATATGTTTAGATGTTGTTTTATCATGCCCACTATGTGTTAACATGCTGAAAATGACTAATGAGAACATGTTTATTTAGATTGTGCCAAATTTCCCATTGTCAAAATATTGAGATTATATGTACATCCATGCACATGTCATTGGGATGCATGAAATGGAAGAATTTGTCTTGAAATGAAAATAGAGGAAATTTTGGGAGAAGAGTTTTGTCAAATAGTTTTGATAAACCCGGTTGTTGCGGGGTTACCAACGGGCCGGAGGTTAATATAGCCTAGAGGGGACTAGGGAGTCGCCCTAGCGTGGTTGAGCTATTCGGGCCCCTCGATGACGCTGCAGGGTTACCAAAGGTCTAGGGACGATAGCCAATCCTCCTCTCATGTCGCGGCGGGGTTACCAAAGGGCAGGCTGTATTAACATTTGAAAGTGATGGTTTTGTGAATGAAAATGGGGAGTGACATTAGCATGCATTGCATTTCATTGCACTGCATGGTTTATAATTGGAATTGACGTACATATTGTTTTAATTCCCTATATTGCATGATCCCTATTTCCCATTGGCCTATGCTTTGTTTGATTCACAATGACACAAGAATTGTGTCTTACGTGTCACCTACTGAGCTTTATGCTCACCCTACTATTTATATTATTTTTTTCAGGTCTTGGAAATGAACCGGTGGACGACAATCCACCTCAAGCTTGAAAGTTGTTAGAAGGTTGTTTGCTATTTTGTATTTTGACCGTTTTATATATATTCATAGTTGTGGGGATGTAACTAAGTTAGTATTCATGGCCTTGTAACTTAAGAACGAACTTATCTTTTGTTTGATGTAAATGAAACTAATAGAATTATGGTATATATTTCCATGCAATTGTATCATGTAACGTTGTAAGACAGGGACTTTAAATCTTAACCATATATTTTGGGACTGTAATTATGATAATTTAGATTAATTGGTGTGTGGATGTTCCATTATGAGAGGAACTATGTTGAGGTATAATGAACGAATGAATGGGATGCTGGATGATATTATGTGTTTTGTGTATTGGGACAGGTTGTTGTAGGCCCATTTTTAGGGGAGGTTATGCCGATTTTTTTTAAAAATTTTGGCATCAGCTAGGGTCGTTACAAATTTGGTATCAGAGCGATGGTTCGAATACCATTAGGACGACGGGTAGAGGCTTACCTAGGGTTGTCTGGGAAGTCATTTGCATTGTTATTTCCTTGTTTGGAAAAGTGTTATGCTATGTGAAAAAGCATGCTTAACTACTTACTTGCTTACGTGCTTATGTGCTTATATGCCTATATTAATGTGTTCATTGCATATTATTACATGCTAAATGTTTGTAGAGTTTCTTTTTGCGTTGGGTTGTTCACGGTTGGACCTTAGTGTTATCGTTATTGAATTGTTTCATTTGTTTTATAGAACGATGTCACGGCGTGAGGAAATCAGGGAAGTTGGCCCTAGACCGACTAGGGGTGATGTTGGCGAGAGCTCCAGCTC